AGCTGAAATTGACTGATGTTGGCCATTTTAAATCTGATAGTCTTATGGTTTATTTACTATGCTGGTAATAACAAATTGAAGAGGATAGGCTTTGCATAAATCATCAAAAAGATTATTTCAGGACCTTTCTTGACATATAATTCTGTCTGTGAAAGCATAGTATCCATATACCTTTAAGGAAGACCATTCAATATCACTATTATTTCAATTTACAGATCAACAACTAAACACCACTGATGATGAAATAGAAGAAAGAATTCTACTAACTTTTTCAGATAGAAATAGATCAAACATGAAGTCAAGATATATTGATAATTATAGGTGATTGCAATCCAAATATAGAAAACAAAGAGAAAGGATTAGCAGTTGGAAAATACTCACCTTGATGATAGAATAACACCTTGATGATAGACATGATGCTGAAGAGAGCATAACAGAATTTTGCAAGACCAATAACTTGTTCATTGCAAATGCCTTTTGTAAACAGCAAAAAAGAGGACTACACATATGAACTTCACCAAATAACACATTTGAATCAGATTGACTACACCTGTGGGGAGAGTCAATGGAGAAGCTAAATATGCCATCAGCCAAAACAAGGCTAGGAGCAGACTCTGGAACAGATCAATTGCTCACATGCAAATTCAGGCTGCAGCTAAAGAAAATTAAAACTGCTTCAAATATGGGCTTATTTGTAAATTGTAATAGCCATACAAAACTCACATACTATGCTCTTAATTGTGAGATATATTAAGGACGTGAACAAGGAACAATTTAGGATCAGAAACAGCTCAAAAAGAAACAGTTTTCCAGTCAAGAGCACCTCTTCTCTGCCATCCTGTAGGCATACCTTGCTCTTGTCATCTGCCTCTTAGCCATGTGACCCCTTGAACTCTGCCCTCCTTAGGCAAATGTTACAAAGTTTCTTTAGCCATTCTGTAAATGATCAAAAGGCACCATCTTCAAGAGAAGTTCTTGTCCATTGTTGTTGTTGTTGTTGTTAAGTGCCGTGGAGTCGGTTCGGACTCATAGCGACCCTGTACAGGGTTTCCGAGGCTGTAAATCTTTACGGGAGAAGAAAGCCTCATCTTTCTCCCGTGGAACAGCTGGTAGTTTCGAACTGCTGACCTTGCGGTTCGCAGCCCTATTCGTAACCACTATGCTACCAGAGCTCCTTGTCCATAGGCACTCAGATTTACTGGGTCCATGGACCCAGAAATCTACAGTTGCTATGTCTCTCCACAATGCCACCTTTTCTATTGCTTCTGCTTTGGTTGGTTTTCCATGTAGGGGTTTCGCTCTCTACTCAAGCTCTTCTTTCTTGGTCATCTGTTCCTTCTTATAAGATGGATCATTTTAAACCTAGTTAGATGGCAAGACTAATCAATCCTTTGTGCCCTATTTGCAGGTTTCTACCCAACCAAGAAATTTGGAAGACAACTATCTGGCTGACTGGTTGGAAGAGATCCATATTTGTGCCCATTCCAAAGAGAGGTGACCCAACAGAATGCAGAAATCATTGGACAATCTCTTTGAAATCTCAAGCAAGTAAAGTTTTGCAAAAGGTCATACAGAAATGGCTCCAATCATACATTGACAGAGAACTTCCAGAGGTTCAAGCCAGATTCAGAAGAGGACATGGAATGACAGATATCATTGCTGATATCCAGTGGATCTTGGCTGAAAGCAGAGAATATCAGAAAGATGTTTACCTGTGCTTTATTGACTATGTAAAGGTTTTTGATTGTGTGGATCATGACAAGCTGTATGAGCTTGAGAAGTATGAGTATTCCGGAACACTTAATTGTACTCATGAGGAATC